GACTTCTTCCCACTCAAATTGCTTGTGCACTTTGTTCCCTGCCAGTAGTCTCACTTGTTCTACTGCATTCTCCATACAATAAAACTGAAAGATGTACAAAGCAGTGACCAACAGACAGTGCCCCTCCATGATGGAGACTGGAGGTAGGAAAAACAAGAGTTTGGCTGCCGTGTTATCCCTGCCTAGGTCTCTGAGAGATTTGAGGAAGCCAGTGGTTAATTTAAACCATTCTATGCAAAATGGAAATCTCAGCTCTGGATAAATTGACTGTTATTGCTAATTAAACCATGAAATGTGCAGTTATCTACAAAAAATACAGATGGTTATTCTGACTGCTTTTAGTTGTTGAAAAGTAGAATCTCATTGGTTCCTGTAGCTTACTGCAATTTACTCACTTATTTACATAGAACTAAAAGGGCCCGTGTGTTTAGACCTGTAAAAATGGCACTTGGGAATTTCCACAGCGTGCACCACAGACTCCTAAGGTGTTCAGGTGACCTTTTATTCATAGTAATATAGTTTGTCCCAACCCCTGGGGCTTTTGCTGGGCAGCTTGGTTCTCATGTAAATCTAGAAGAATTAGACACCTGCATGCTTGTTCTGTATGTAAATGGAGGTACACAGAACAAAAAGAAAAAATTATGCTGAATACTATATTATGTATTAGCCATGGTTATCGTAAGATATTTATTATTCTCGACAGGAATTCTTTAGCTTGCATATACAGTACTGTGCAAAGGTTTTAGGCAGGTGTGAATAAATGCTGTAAAGTAAGAATGCTTTCAAAAATATATATTTCAATTGTTTTTGTTTTTATCAATTTACAAAATGCAAATCGAGAGAACAGAAGAAACATCTAAACCAAATCAATATTTGGTGTGACTACCTTTTGGCTTTAAACCAGCATCAGTTCCTACACTTGCGTATTTTGTACACTTGCACAATGTCAGGGATTTTGTATGATTATAGTCAGGCCTATGATTACCAATTAAATCAAGCAGGAGCTAATGATGACCAATTTCAAATGTAGGTTGAAACACAGTCATTAACTGAAGCAGAAACAGCTGTGTAGGTGGCTTAACACTGGATGAGAAAAAGCCAAACTCTGCTACTGAGATGAGGTGGTGAAGACAGTTTCAAGTCACAGGTCATACACCTGAGCAGAGCAACAAAACATAATGTAGTTATACTGCATCGGCAAGGTCTCTCCCAGGCAAAGATTTCAAAGCATACTGGGGTTTCAAGACATGCTGTTTGAGTTTTTTGAAGTAACATAAAGAAACAGGCAACATTGAGGATCATGGATGCAGTGGTCGGCCAAGGAAACTTAATGCAAATAAAAGACACATCACTCTTATTTCCATTCAATATCGGAAGATGTCCAGCACTGCCATCCACACAAAACTGGCAGAAACCAGTGCGACCCAGCTAAACCCATCTACTATTTGGAGAAAACATATGAACTCAGGTGAAAAAAAATAGCAGCAGGTGCTCTGGACTGATGAATCAAAGTTTTAAATATTTGGCTGTTGCAGGAGGCAGTTTGTTTGCCATAGGGCTGGAGAGCGGTACAATAATGAGTGCCTGCAGCCAACAGTGAAGCATAGTGGAGGTTCTTTGCAAGTTAGGGCTGCATCTCTGCATTTCAGAGTTGGATATTTGTTCAGGATCATTTATGTCCTCAATATCATTTATGTCCTCAATGTTGAGAAATACAGGCAGATACTTATTCATCATGCGATATCATCAGGGAGGTTTGCGACTGGCCCAAAATTTATTCTGCAGCAGGACAATGACCCCAAACATACAGCCAATGTAATTAAGAACTATCATCAGCACAAAGAAGAACAAGGAGTCTTTGAAGTGATGATTTGGCCCCCACAAAGCCCTGATCTCAACATCAATGAGTCTGTCTGGGATTACATAAAGAAACAGAAAGATCTGATGTAGCCTACATTGTTAGAAGATCTGTAGCTAGTTCTCCAAGATGTTTGGAACAGCCTGTAATGATATAACGCACTGGGCACACGAAAAGCTGTGTCTGGTAGCCATGTTGTTCAAGAATCATAAGTTGGCCATGATGGATTTGTATAACAGTTACACATTGCAGCTGAAAATAGCTAGACGTGCACCACCTCCATAGCCTTAACTTAGTCACATTTCAAAGAGCCTGTTCTCAACTTAAGGACATCAGATACGAGCACATAGGCCTTTGTTAGAGCTGTAAATATTTAATTGAAGCCCTGGCAGAATGTCTATTAATTTCTGCTTACTAAAAAAATCTACAGATTACCACTTTCCTGGCCCATCGTAAAACAGTCACAAAATCCTTCAGTACTGTCACCCATGTTTTGTAGGGCAATAAAACCCATTAGGGATACACTGCACGCAGTAAAATGCCTTAACCAGAGCTAATGGGTATCATAAAGCAGTAAGGCTTGCGGTGACCTTTCAGAGGCCCCCTGCCCAACTCAAAATTTCAAAAACTATGCACAATTCATAAATTTAGACAGGAATAAGACACATCAATATTAAGCATATATTTGAATGGGGAATATCATATTGAACAAATCGAGATCATACATGACTAACTTATAGTATACAGAAGGTGAGATAGCAGTCAGATATCTCCTGGATGACAGGCCTATCCGAGATACCCTGTATTTAGTATCCCTGGACATGAAATACAATTCTGAAAAATAATCTACCAGTTTCCAGAATACATCCGGTACATATTGGAAGACATTAATATTAATATAAAACTGTGTGTAAGGGAGGACCATGACACAGTCATAAACACAGTGACCTCCCCATGGCCACCCCTCATCCATTTAATTTGTCAGATGGTCTCTGATAACACCCTTTTGATATCAGAGAACAAGGAGACTGCTCCTGAAGTTGACCGCTCTCATCTTAACATAAAACCAAGGAAACACCTAACCAGACTTTAGAGAGCCACTGTACCATTTTGCTTATTCATTGTGTGCGCCTCTTACCCGAAAATGCAAAATCACGTAGATATATATATATATATATATATATATATAGTGGGGCAAAAAAGTATTTAGTCAGCCACCAATTGTGCAAGTTCTCCCACTTAAAAAGATGAGAGAGGCCTGTAATTGGCATCATAGGTAGACCTCAACTATGAGAGACAAAATGAGAAAAAAAATCCAGACAATCACATTGGCTGATTTGGAAAGAATTTATTTGCAAATTATGGTGGAAAATAAGTATTTGGTCAATATCAAAAGTTCATCTCAATACTTTGTTATATATCCTTTGTTGGCAATGACAGAGGTCAAATGTTTCCTGTAAGTCTTCACAAGGTTTGCACACACTGTTGCTGGTATTGTCAGGGCTCCCGGGTATGACCAGAGGTGTGTGACTGACGCAGGGAAACGCAGACTTCAGATATGTTATAAACAATGTAATTTATTAACACTAACCATACAAACATAAACGCAGTGCAATACTAAAACATAACACAGTGCAAACGAACCAACCTACCACCCACAGATAACAGTACATACAATGCAAGCGTCGTCAGGCAGGCCTGGTCAATATCAGTCGGGCAGGTAGGTACAGGGGGAGCAAGCGGAGAATGGTCGGGGTCACAGACCAGGTTCAGCAGGTAGCGGGCAGCGTGGTACAGAGGGTCAGGCAGAGGAGAATGGTCAGACAAGCCAGGGATCAGAGCAGGGTCAGCAGAGAATCAGACAGGAACAGAGAGCAGGAACAGGATACAGGGCCCAAGAGAAACACAACACCAAGGCAGAGTCTGCAGGTCTGAATGTCCCTTAAATACACCAGTATAATTAGTTCCAGGTGTTTGACTGGCTGCAAGGTTGAGTCTCTGATTGCTGGGAGCACCCGCTGGCAAGCCCTGGTACTGCAGCTCATAAGGCAGCTGAGTCCCACTATTGCTGGCCAGTCATTCCTGACAGTACCCCCCCCCCCCCTCAAGGAGCGGCCTCAGGACGCTCCAAACAGTCCTAGCTGGGCAAAATGTTCCACCGCCCGGGTCTGGTAACTGGCGGGATATCAAAGACTGGCACACCGGGCAGGACTCCGGGCAGCGGCACACCGGGCAGAGGCACATCGGGCTGGACTCCGGGCAGAGGCACATCGGGCTGGACTCCGGGCAGAGGCACATCGGGCTGGACTCCGGGCAGAGGCACATCGGGCTGGACTCCGGGCAGAGGCACATCGGGCTGGACTCCGGGCAGAGGCACACCGGGCTGGACTCCGGGCAGAGGCACATCGGGCAGGACTCCGGGCAGAGGCACATCGGATTACCAGGCGAGGCAGCGGGCCACCAGGCGGAGCAGCAGGCACTGGGCCCCCGGGCGGAACGGCAGGCACCGGGCCCCCAGGCGGAGCGGCAGGCGCCGGGCCCCCGGGGGGGGGTGACCGGCGCCGGGCCCCCGGGCGGGGCGACAGGCGTCGGGCCCCCAGGCGGGGCAACAGGCGTCGGGCCCCCAGGCAGAGCGGCGGGCGCCGGACCCCCAGGCGGAGCGACAGGTCTCGGGCCCTCAGGCGGAGCGGGCGGCGCCGGACCCTCAGGCGGAGCGGCGGGCGCCGGACCCCCAGGCGGAGCGACAGGTCTCGGGCCCCCAGGCGGAGCGACAGGTCTCGGGCCCCCAGGCGGAGCGACAGGTCTCGGGCCCCCAGGCGGAGCGACAGGTCTCGGGCCCCCAGGCGGAGCGACAGGTCTCGGGCCCTCAGGCGGAGCAGCGGGCGCCGGACCCCCAGGCGGAGCGACAGGTCTCGGGCCCTCAGGCGGAGCGGCGGGCGCCGGACCCCCAGGTGGAGCGACAGGTCTCGGGCCCTCAGGCGGAGCGAGAGGTCTCAGGCCCCCAGGCGGGGCGGCGGGCCTCGGACCCCCAGGTGGAGCGGCGGGCGCCGGATCACCAGGCACGACAGTGGGCGCCGAGTCAACTGGCATGACCGCTGGCACTGGGTCAGACATTGGATCGTCTGGCTGGACAGCGGGCATCGGGTCACCAGGCATCAAGTCATTTGGCTCGACAGCGAGCACCGCGTCATCTGGCAAGGCAGTGGGCTCCGAGTCAACAGGCACAACAGTGGGCACCGGGTCATCAGGTACCAGATTGTCTGGCTCGACAGCAGGCATCGGGTCACCAGGTATGACAGCGGGCACTGGGTCACCAGGCATCAGGTCATTTGGCTTGCCAGCGGGCACCGCGTCATCTGGCAAGGCAGTGGGCACCGGGTCACCAGGCATTGGATCGTCTGGCTCGACAGCGGGCATCGGGTCACCAGGTATGACAGCGGGCACTGGGTCACCAGGCATCAGGTCATTTGGCTCGCCAGCGGGCACCGCGTCATCTGGCAAGGCAGTGGGCATCGAGTCACCAGGTACGACAGCGGGCTCTGAGTCAATTGGCACGACAGCGGGCACCGGATCAGGTACCGGATCATCTGGATCAACAGCGGGCATCGAGACTGGTCAACTGGCCTAATAGGATCGTCAGGCTGGATCAGTTCATCATGCTGGGTAGAGGCATCAGGCTGAATGCCGGCGTCCGGCTGAGTAGAGGCTTCAGGTTCAGGCCGAGTGGAGGCATCAGGCCGAGTGGAGTAGAGGTTTCAGGCCGAGTAGAGGTTTCAGGCCGAGTAGAGGCTTCAGGCCGAGTGGAGAGCTTCAGGAGTAGAGGCTTCAGGCCGAGTGGAGCTTCAGGCCGAGGCATCAGGCCGAGTAGAGGCTTCAGGCCGAGTAGAGGCTTCAGGCTGAAGCTTCAGGCATCAGGCTGAGTACAGGCATCAGGCTGAGGCATCAGGCTGAGTACAGGCATCAGGCTGAGTACAGGCTTCAGGCTGAACCACGGAAGGCAGGTTCACCGGTTTGGATACTGGCAGGATGGTATTGGTTGGAAAGAATTTTCGCTTTTTTCTGGTTTTAACTACTGGAGCACTGCAAGTAAACGCAGGTCTGCAAACGAATGGAGCAGCTGGAGACAGAGAAGAACTGGAGGATGGAACAGGAGAGGGAGCAGTTGCTACAGAGGGCTTTTTTACAGGGTTAAAGGCAGGATAGGTGCAGCGAGTGGGAACAGGGTACTGACATGCGGTAGATAGCAGGGCAGGAGGAGCTGTTGGGAATACAGGAGTAGAGCTTTGAGGAAATAGATTAGAAGCAGGACTGGGTTTTTGTAAGCTGACTGAGGCTGGGTGCAACAAGTCTGTCCATGTCTGCAGTATGGGTTGAACAAAGCTGAGCTTACACAAAGCCTGTCTGACCAAAGACTGCACTGCGTTTATACAATCTCTTAGTGTCTGTGGTGAACATGTGGAATAACGCTCCAGAAAGTAATCCACATCATCCTCTAATAACCACACCAGGGACTCTACCTGGTCTGCACTAAATGGTGGCAAAAATTCATCCCTGCATTCGGGGGTACCAGATGAAACCAACTCAGCACAAACCTCAATCAAAGGCTGCACCTCAGAAAACTCTGTGCCCTGATCTACTAGAACATGAGCGAGCCGTATACATTCTAGCAGTTCATCCCGGGGATACTCCTTCAGAGTTTGATAAGCATACTCCCTGTCATCAAACACTAGCAGATATAAATACGCAACCTCATCCAGATCCATCCTTCCCATCAACAAGCCAAGATGGCTTCCCTGTGCAGCCACTTGTGGTCAGGATTGGCCTTGGTGTAATGTCAGGGCTCCCGGGTATGACCAGAGGTGTGTGACTGACGCAGGGAAACGCAGACTTCAGATATGTTATAAACAATGTAATTTATTAACACTAACCATACAAACATAAACGCAGTGCAATACTAAAACATAACACAGTGCAAACGAACCAACCAACCACCCACAGATAACAGTACATACAATGCAAGCGTCGTCAGGCAGGCCGGGTCAATATCAGTCGGGCAGGTAGGTACAGGGGGAGCAAGCGGAGAATGGTCGGGGTCACAGGCCAGGTTCAGCAGGTAGCGGGCAGCGTGGTACAGAGGGTCAGGCAGAGGAGAATGGTCAGACAAGCCAGGGATCAGAGCAGGGTCAGCAGAGAATCCGACAGGAACAGAGAGCAGGAACAGGATACAGGGCCCAAGAGAAACACAACACCAAGGCAGAGTCTGCAGGTCTGAATGTCCCTTAAATACACCAGTATAATTAGTTCCAGGTGTTTGACTGGCTGCAAGGTTGAGTCTCTGATTGCTGGGAGCACCCGCTGGCCAGCCCTGGTACTGCAGCTCATAAGGCAGCTGAGTCCCACTATTGCTGGCCAGTCCATTCCTGACAGGTATGTTGGCCCATTCCTTCATGCAGATCTCCTCTAGAGCAGTGATGTTTTGGGGCTGTCGCTGGGCAACACGGACTTTCAACTCCCTCCAAAGGTTTTCTATGGGGTTGAGATCTGGAGACTGGCTAGGCCACTCCAGGACCTTGACATGCTTCTTACGAAGCCACTTCTTCATTGCCCGGGCGGTATGTTTGGGATCATTGTCATGTTGGAAGACCCAGCCACGTTTCATCTTCAATGCCCTTGCTGATGGAAGGAGGTTTGCACTCAAAATCTCACAATACATGGCCCCATTCATTCTGTCCTGTTCATGGATCAGTCGTCCTGGTCCCTTTGCGGAGAAACAGCCCCAAAGCATGATGTTGCCACCCCCATGCTTCACAGTAGGTATGGTGTTCTTTGGATGCAACTCGGCATTCTCTCTCCTCCAAACACGATGAGTTGTGTTACTACCAAACAGTTCTATTTTGGTTTCATCTCACCATATGACATTCTCCCAATCCTCTTCTGGATCATCCAAATGCTCTCTAGCAAACTTCAGTCGGGCCCGGACATGTACTGGCTTAAGCAGGGGGACACGTCTGGCACTGCAGGATCTGAGTCCCTGGCGGCGTAGTGTGTTACTGATGGTAGCCTTTGTTACACTGGTCCCAGCTCTCTGCAGGTCATTCACTAGGTCCCCCCGTGTGGTCCTGGTATTTTTGCTCACCGTTCTTGTGATCATTTTAACCCCACGGGGTGAGATCTTGCGTGGAGCCCCAGATCGAGGGAGATTATCAGTGGTCTTGTATGTCTTCCATTTTCTAATTATTGCTCCCACAGTTGATTTGTTCACACCAAGCTGCTTGCCTATTGCAGAGTCAGTCTTCCCAGCCTTGTGCAGGGCTACAATTTTGTTTCTGGTGTCCTACGACAGCTCTGTGGTCTTCACCATAGTGGAGTTTGGAGTGTGACTGTTGGAGGTTGTGGACAGGTGTCTTTTATACTGATAACAAGATCAAACAGGTGCCATTGATACAGGTAATGAGTGCAGGACAATGGAGCCTCTTAAAGAAGAAGGTACAGGTCTGTGAGAGCCAGAAATCTTTCTTGTTTGTAGGTGACCAAATACTTATTTTCCACCATAATTTGCAAATAAATTCTTTCCAAATAAGCCAATGTAGTTGAGGTCTACCTATGATGCCAATTACAGCCCTCTCTCATCTTTTTAAGTGGGAGAGCTTGCACAATTGGTGGCTGACTAAATATTTTTTTGCCCCCACTGTATATATAGGGCGGTCAGGAAGCAGGTTAAGAATGGCACCACAACACACCATGAATTACCATGCATTGCAGTAGATACGGATAGACATGAAACCAGCCATTAATTGACACTGTCACTACATGTCTAAACTGAGCCCAAAGGAAGATGCTGTATACTTACCTTTCTGGCAGCCCATGTTTGCAAACACTGCTTTGATTGACTGCAAGTCAAGTATCCAATACTGCTTGATGTAGTGAATATCTGCTCCTCCTACTATATGCTATAGTTCCCTGTACATCACTGCAGGACAAAACGTGGACTTAAATTGTTACTAAACCCACAACAGTAAAATCAATCTGTATATGCAGTAAAGCATGCTTGTTATACTCACTAAGGGGTTAATCCTCTGAGTGCATTTGATCAGCACAGGGCCAATCAGCACTGTCCAGACAGTGGGTCAGGGGTCATGCAGCCTCATAGGGCAATCAGGGGATAATGAAAACTCCTTCTACAAGCTTTAACTAGTATTTTGCTGGACACTGATAGAAGACACAAGATTGCTCTAACTACTGATGAGAAAATGTATTTAGCAGTTTGTATGTACTAAAATAATTGCATTTCCATGTTGTGTGTGTGCTGTGGGAGACCAGATATAGTGAGTATAGGGTCCTGGGTTTAGTAACACTTTAATTTAGTTTGGATCTTGTAGCGACTAGATTAGCTGCAGTGCTAATGTGAAAATATGTGAAATTTGGCAACATTAATGATCTTTTCTTGGCTGCATTTCTCATTTAGAGTACACAGCCAGTAAATGTAGTAAAACATGACTAGCAGCTGACTAGCTTTGTATGAATCAGTCTGTTTTATTTCTGTTGATTGTTTGTTTGACCTGAGTGAACATAAGATTTTTGGGAGGAAGGGTCAATCTTAGGGTATATGGCTCCCTGTACAAAGGTTTATTATGCCAAATACCCTTTGTAATCCTTGCTACAGAACCCATTATCAATGTAAGCAACTCGTAAATAAAACCATATCTTTTTTAATATATAGGCATTGCAAACTTCCAGGACAAGCTTTCACAAAGAGAAGCAAATATATTATTATTATCATCCAGGATTTATATAGCGCCAACAGTTTGCACAGCACTTTACAATATAAAGGGAGACCGTACAATTACAATACATTTCAGTACAGAAGGAATATGAGGGCCCTGCTCGTGGAGCTTACAATCTAAAGGAAGGGGGAGGTGATACAAAAGGTGATAGCTGCAAGGGATGATCTGATGGAGGTGACTCAAGTACAGTTCTTAGGTGGAGGTGAGGTAGGCTTCCCTTAATAAGTGAGTTTTCAAAGATCGCCTAAAGGCAGACAAGGTGGTGGCTGACCAAACATACTGGCGTAGGGAGTTTGAGGATGGGAGAGGCTTTGGAGAAGTCCTGGAGGGGAGCATGGGAGGAGGTGACAAGGGAGCTAGAGCAAGATGTCTTGGGAGGAGCAGCGCGGGTGATTTGGACAATATCTGCGGATGAGGTTGGTGATGTAGCTAGGGGCAGTGTTGTGGATGGCTTTGTATGTTGTGGTTAGTATTTAGAATTTTATACGTTGGGTTGATGGAAGCCAGTGAAGGGATTGGCAGAGAGGGGCAGAAGTCGCTGATTAGTTGGTTAGGTGTATGAGCCTAGCAGCAGCTTGCAAAATGGGCTGAATTGGGGGGGGGGGGGGGAGAGTAAGAAGGTGTTGGGTTCTGCTCTGTATTTTTTCATATTGTTGCACAGAACAGGTGGGAGGAAAAGTGTTACAGGAGAATAAAACAGGGAGGTGTTGGGTTCCTCTCTCTCCTCCTTCCTATGAAGATATACAATGGGTGGCAGGAGGAGTGATGGAGGGGAATAGATCAGAAAGGTGTTGTGTTCAGCTCTCACTTTTCTCCTATAGCACAAAATACATGGGAG